AAAAGAACAATATAATCTGATTTAGAAAACCCTAATTCAATGCTGCTGCAAATTCTTCCGTACAAGAAAAGTACGTTCAAATTGAGACTAATGAATATTGGGTCGTAAAGAAAGAAAATTGTAAAATTGTAATGAGAGAGAATTGAGGAGATGATCGGTAACTTTTGAGTTTGCTGAGAGAAGAGAGAACAAACGGTGCAACTTACTGAAAAAATATATATATTAGTGTTGGTGTAAAAAAAAAAAATGTACAAGATAGAGAAAGAAAAAAAAATTATTACTATTTAAGAATATAAATATTTAAGTGTGTATTGGTTAAGGTTTAGTAGACAACACTGAATGAGGAGGAGAGAGAGAAATTGAAAGAAAAAAAGTGTTGTTTTAGGAGATAAATTTGGTTAAAGTTTTATTAAAAAGCTTGAATGATGACGAGGAGAGAGAAAAAATAATAATAATAAGAAGTTATTTTAGGAGATAAATTTTTTTGAATTAGTGTTTAATAATGTTAGGAAATAATTACAATATAACTTATGTAAGTGAACTATAATATTTTGGGACCTTCTTATTGGCTGGGGTCTAAGGTGGCCGCATAAGTCGCCTAAGACTCAAGCCGCCCTTGCTATTCACTTACTCTACAACCACTTGAAAAAGAACGAGAAGATGTTGGGAGTTCAAGCCTCCATGGAAGTATGGGTGTGTGTTTGTTTAATCTTTTTAAAAAGATAAAAAATAAATTTGAAAATAATTACATGTACTTAAAAAAGACAATAAATAAATAAATAAATCCGGGAATAATTACATATGTGTTCTCCACATACCCATGTATCATACATGAGTGCAAGAGGAAAAAATTAGGGTTTGACTTAGAAATATATGCACTAGTGAAAGAGAATTTTAGGAGGGACATTTTGCAAGATTCACAAAATTATATATATATATATATATATATACAGGGGCATTTTTGGGGGACTGTTGGCTTTGAGCTTAACATGGTCTATATATACACATTTAAGAGAGAGAAAGCTTACATTAATTAATAAATAATTGAATATTCTAAGGGAAGAAGTCATTTTTACAGAGTAAACTGAGTTCTTTTTCATACCAAGTTTGCTCATTTGCATCACCCATGGTCCGTTGTGTTAATTACGGTTGCAATATGACGGATTCGGACAAATTCAATATAAATTGACCGATACAAATTGCTTATTGTATTTCAAAAAAATCACGTATCGAATAATACAGCAAACTATTCGATACGACGAACCATAACATCACCCCACAACCATTCCAGTGAAAACAATGCAAGAGCTTTGGCCATTATAATTTACCCTAAATTATTTTATAACCCCAACCCTATATTTAAAAATTATTGATGTGGTCTTTCTTGTCTCACCCTTAGAAAATTTAACAAATAAATTGGGCAGCTTCTTTGATTGCTACTTCTCAACACCAATAATAAGAATATGAAAAATAATAAAAAGTGATTACTGTCACTTTCTTACCTTTTTGTGTCAGCTATAGATTTTTCAACCCATTGGTGACCCAATTGAAAAAACAAACCAATCGATAGAGATATATATCCTCAGAGAAATCATCCCTTAATTTATGAAATAACCAAGACCACAAATTAATGATTCGAATAACAACATTTTCTAAGAAAAAGAACGGTGGTGTAGACAACAAAAAGAATAGAATAATATGTGTATATGTTTATATTTACTCATATTATATATTTTCAAAACATTATTAGTTCTTAAAAAATAAGATGCTTTTAAGTGTTTGTTAAAAGGGCTTTAGCCCAAATACATCCTCACAAATGAAACATTCATTCTAGATTTAAGTTCTATTCAACTGTTCAACCAATTTAAAATTAAAAAAATTGAATGAGAAAATAATTTGTTAAACTTTTCTGATTTGTAATGCAAAAATCAAAGTTTCCTTCAAATAATAGAATATAAAGTGCAATTAATTTTTTTTATTCAATTTAGGTTATAATCAATTGTTGAAACTTTTCGATGACCTTGTACTCAATTTAGGTTATAATCAATTGTTGAAACTTTTCAATGACCTTATAACCTGATGGTGCTTACTCATCTTTCAAAGTTAAAAGTTGAGAGCTGAAATCTCCATTGGGACAAAAAGTTAGTATTTAAGTATGTATCTTACCCAAAAAAATAAAAAAAAAACCTTAAAACTCACTTATATCTTCTCGTATTGTCAAAATGGCAAGTGAGGGTTAAAGTTGCAATAAGAACAAATGTGTGCATGAGTTTATTGTCAATGGACAAAAATAATCCAATTAATCAAATTTGAATGGTTTGTAGGGGTGGAGCTAGGATTTAAATTGAAGGGGGCATAGTACAAAAAAAAAAAAAAAAATGTAGTTTAAGAAGTAGAAGGAAAAAAAAAAAACAAACAAAAAGTAATAGGAAAAGAAAAATAACAATATTTTGAAAGAAATGAATTAGAGTATGATTGAATAAGGAAGTCAAAAGAAAATTTTGTAAATTTAATATTTTTAGGGGACATAATATATAAATTTATATATATATATATGTAAAAATAATTAAAAAATTTGTATATATTATATAAGGCCAGGGGCACGTGCCCCCTGGGCATATGCCCCTGATCCCACGTATTATATTTGATGTTGCGAGAGTTCACTTTTTAACTTAGATTGAATGGAGTAGAGCATTGTATTGCATTGAATTGTATACATGTATAATTAATGAGAATCGTTTGATACAGTATCTACAATACCTATATGTATAATCATACTCTATAGGATATTTATAAAGATATAGATTTTGATTGAATTAAAGTCAACAATACGACAGCATTCAAAAAATACCCATATGTATAATCATACTCTAATATGAAAAAATGTTACTCTATAGGATATGAAAAAAATATATAAAATATTTAACTATGTAAGAAAAAAAAATCCAGGAGAATATTCATCAAAGATATTTTTTGATTGGAGGGAGGACAATTAAGAAGATGTCGCTGTCCAATCTTGGTCCAACCGATGAATAGGACATGGGAAACAAATCAAAATTTAGACAAAGCCCTTGCTTTCAATGGTTTCCAAGGACTTAGAAACACATTTCACTCATTTAGACCAACAAATGGTTTTGTCTCTTGCGCAAATAGGCCACCATCAACGGGCATGTCTAAGTTTGACTTCCTCGGAAAACCATATCAATGTCCAAACATATCAATTATAATACTTATTTGGGAATATGGTTCTGAATAGAATGGCAAGGAAAACAATTTCCTCTACCTTCCTGATAAAATAATAATAATAATAATTTTGTTTTTTTTTTTTTTTAATTGTGTTTTGCTAAAAAAAAATTAATAAAATGATTCACTGTGGAGTCAGACCACGTACTCGTTACAATCGGAATATTTTTTATAAATTAAATTGGGTCAAATTAGATAAAAATAAAATATAACAAAATATATAGCTAGTAGAATTGTGTATGGTTAGAACGTGTCGCTAGTGTTTTATGTGATTAAAAATAACAAGCAAGTTAAAAGGAATATTTTACAAAATTATTATTATTATTTTTGAGTAAATTATACTGACCTCCTTAAGATTTTGTTAATATATACCGACCTCCTCTCTTATTTGTCAAATTATACGATTTTTTTTTTTTTGTTAGATTTGTTGAGTTTGTAATTATGTTTTTGTCTTTATATGTATATATATTATTTTTTATTGCAATAAACATGTCTTTCAAAAATAGAATTGAAATTTAAAATTTGTAAAATCGCTTATATCAGCACTTTTTGTCGTTAATTGTTAACAAATAGAAAGTATGTGTTATTTATATACAAATTTCAAGGAAGGTAAATATAATTTTTTAAATAAAATATAAGATCAATGTATATTAACAAAACTTCAAGAGAGGTCAATATAATTTGCTCTTCTTCTTTTTTGCTATTATAAAACAATTATTATACTCACTATTTTATTAGAAGCAGAATGTTAGATTTCAAGACGATGTTAGAAAAAATTGTTGAAATGGACCAAAACAACCAAAGATTGTATAATCTAAGCAGTACTTTCTCATGTTTGTGAGACCCACTATTTGATTACACCAATATGACATAACATGTTTATAAAAGATATTAAACTTGACAACCTTTTAGCCGTTTAGTTAAAATATTATTATTTTTCATTTATTGATGGTGATCAAGCACTGCATTGTGAAAATTCAACTTCTACAATAATTTATTTTTTATTTTATTTTTTTTATCTTGGCAAATTAGAAAAAAGGAATTCTAACATGTGCATGCTCGTCCGAAAAGTTAGAGACACTCTACCAACGAAATGGTTTGAAAAGTTGGAGACACTCTACCAAGTCAGTAATAATGTCCAATTTAATCTAAGCTACTCCATTTAAATTTGGCTTCGAATTTTTCCAACATCTCCATCCTACAAAAATCCAAATTAATTTCATTTTCAGTCAATTTGATACATCCAAATTCCAACTCTAAACTTAATTCATTTCAACAAACACCGAAACTAAATCGATAAATAAGAAAATATGTGGTGACTTTTCTTGGTTAAGTATAATGCGAAACATTATTAACATGAATTTTATTTAGTGAAATTATTATATGATTTTGGATCACGTAGGTTTAATCAAAATTGTCCAACTAAGAAATAAGATATTACAAAAAAAAAAAAAAAAAAAGTGAAGTGTAAGGGGTATCTCAATAAGAAATAAGATATCACGTAGGTTTAGGAGGAGATAAAGGCACTCCAATTTGAATGCGAAATGACATTATCGTCCTTGATTTGATTTTTTAAAATGAAGTGTAAGGGGTATTTATGTAATTTAATTTTTATAAAAAAATGCATTTATAAAATAGTGGAATGCATTTATCATTTTCCAAGTTTTATAGTCCACGAGTTGTGTTCTCAAGTTATCAACCAGTCTTAAAAACAATGAAAACAAAAGTTTGTATTTATTTACAGCCAAATGAATTGTCTTTTCATATTTGGTCCCAGAAAACAAAACAAAAAAAAAAAAAAAAAAAAAAAAATCAAAATGGGCTTTGTTTGGGTGTTGACTTTGAACCATGCGAGTGTTTCTCACATTACTTATTTATTCACACGATTCCAAACTCCGCAATGTCCACCCAATTTCTCAGCGGAAAAGCCAATTCCTCCCCCCCACTTCCACAACCACCACCACCCCCACTTTCACACGACTTAACAATTCCTCTCATTTCCTTTTCCGTCTTAAACAATTCCTCTCCCCATTAAAATAATCATCAGGAAGGAAAACAAATCCGTTTACCCACTATTCTATTCCCCCAGTCCCCTTCTATTCTCTCTCACTCACAACGCCAGAATCCAACAACTACAGAGACATTTCTAGAGAGAGAAAAGCAAAAAAAATCCAGCATTTCTAGAGAGAGAAATATGCTTGAGTTGTGTTGTCGGCCGCTGGAGCGGTGCTTCGGTGGTGGCGGCGGTGGTGATGGACTTCTGTGGCACATGGACTTGAAGCCTCACGCCTCCGGTGACTACTCGATTGCGGTGGTTCAGGCCAATTCCTCACTCGAAGACCAGGGCCAAGTTTTTACCTCCCCCTCCGCCACCTACGTCGGCGTCTACGACGGCCACGGCGGCCCCGAAGCGTCTCGCTTCATCACCAGCCACCTCTTCCCTTACCTCCACAGTACTTCACAAAACCCTAATTTCCATTTTATGTAGATATTCTTAGTTGTAAGTGTGCATGTCTGTAGTATTATTAGAGATTCGGTAGACGGAGAAACAAATGAAGAAAATATTTGTGCTCTCTTTTCTGAATTATATATATATATATATTAGTATTATTAGAGATTCGGTAGACGGAGAAACAAATGAAGAAACAAATGAAGAAAGAGAGCACAAATATTTTCTTCATTTGTTTCTTCATTTGTTTCTCCGTCTACCGAATCTCTAATAATACTAATATATATATATATATATATATATATATAATAGATGGTTTTTATTTTGGGTGCTTTAAATTATAAGGTTTTCTCAGTGTTTTATGTTGTGTCTTGTTCGGTTGCTGGGAAAACAGAGGAAAATTTTGTGTGTGTATGGGTGTGTGTGGAGTTCTTAAGAATGAACATTTAACTCAATTAAGCTCAATGGTTAAATAACATTTACTTGAATGATGATTTTTTGTTTTATGAATCTTAAATAATGAAGAAGTGGGATTTTTATGATTTTGATTAGTTTTTCCATGCTATCTCATGGGTTTTTAGTAATTTGTCTATTTTGGTTTCTCAAAGTTTGGTTTATGTTGTGTCTTGTTCGGTTGCTGGGAAAACGGAGGAAAATTGTGTGTGTATGGGTGTGTGTGGAGTCCTTAAGAAGGTACATTTAACTTAATTAAGCTCAATGTTTAATTATCACTTACTTGAATGAGAGCTTTTAATTTTACTAATTTTAAATAATGAAGTGGGATTTTTGTGATTTTGATTAAAATTTCTATGCAACCACATGGGCTTTTAGTAATTTGTTTATTTTGGTTTTACAGAGTTTGCTTTAGAACAAGGAGGATTGTCTGAGGAGGTGATAAGGAAGGCATTTGATGCTATTGAAAAGGAGTTCGTGGATTTGGTGAAGCAATCATGGCTATCTCGGCCTCAAATTGCTTCAGTTGGTTCATGTTGTCTTGTTGGAGCGATTTCAAATGATGTTTTATATGTGGCAAATTGCGGGGACTCAAGGGCTGTGCTTGGCAGGAGAGTATCTGATGGCCGCACTAATAGTTCTACAACGGTGGTGGCTGAAAGGTTATCGACAGATCATAATGTCGGTGTTGAAGAGGTGAGGAAGGAGGTCAAGGATCTTCATCCTGATGATTCGCACATTGTGGTGTATACTCGGGGGGTTTGGCGAATTAAGGGCATTATTCAGGTATGAACCATGCCTTTCCATTGTTTGCTTGCTCGAATTCCTGTTATGGATCTTTGGGTACTTGTTTCCTCCGCTGCTCATTGATCTGTTGAAATTTCTTTTTTAAAAGACTTTGATTTATAATTGGGAGAAACTCGTAGGCAGGTAGATAGTGAACAATTTGATAATTTCATCCAAGTAATGTAAAACGGTGTACTCTGTTTTTGATTTGTTACTGCTGCAGTGCTGATATAATTTATATTAGGTTACAAGTTAAAATTTGAATATGGTAGTTCTTTGTAATGCCTGCAATCTTCCTCTTACAGACCTCAGAGTCTCTACTTATGAATGGTAATGGTTTTAGTGTGTGTGGCTATTTGTTTTCCTTTATTTACATCACAGGACTAATGCACTTGCATTTGCTATTGACTATTGTTTTCGGGTTTGAATACTTGATGGCCAGTACTAATGAGTAATGATGAATTTTAAATTCTGATGTAGCTCTTGCTTGATATTTGGTTTTTCTTCTGGATTACTTGGAGTTGTTCGAGCTACTTTGAACTTAGTCACATTAGAGATAGGAAGGTTCTATTTTTCTGGGAGATTTTTGTTGGGTTTAAATCATTATAAGCAGATTGTATGCTTTGTCTTTTTGGCAAGCATGTGCCATTATTAGTTTTCTAAGGAATATTCCTTTTATGTTTATATACTCGGTTCTTCATCTATGCACTGCCACAGTCTTTGCAAGATTTTCGTTTTCATTTTTCATTACTGCATTCTGACAAAATGCCTGTTTAAATACCTTGAAGATGAAGTTGGGTGGGAGACTGGGAGGACCTTGTTCACAGAGACCATGACTCACAAAATAAAGAAAAGGAAAAGGAATAATTCTTTTTTGTTAGAGAATAATGGCATCATAGTAATATTATTCTTCAAAAAAGTATTATTCTTATGCTAGTAGTTCTCTTTTATTAGTTGTCCTCTTTTGATATTTGCATTATCTTAAAAGTTCCTTCTGTGTTCTTAAATTGGTAAAACATTAATTCCTTTATTCATTGATAGCTGTACCATAAATGGCATAACCTTTTGTGTTGTCTACTGTTCTTTACAGCTAATTAAAGTATCATGTGTCACAGGGTTCATGAGATAGTAATAGTATGTTTTACTTTTTGTCTAGGTAATGTATACCACCACATCATTTAATGATGATATGCTTGTTGTTACAGATGTGTAATGCATGTTTCTTCTGCAGTCAGGGAGCTAAAATTTATGTTTTGTGGCTGTACCAAAGTTTCAGTTAAAATTTGCATGGCTAGAATGATTTCAACTTCTGGACGATGGGTTGAAATCTACGGGGTCACGTCATATTTGATGTTAACTTTTGCTTTACAGAAATGTTTTAGTGAATTTATCCTATTTGGTAGCTGCTAGCCTGCTGCTTTACCTCAGCGAGTTAAATTTTTTATCCATTATATTGTAGCTTCTATCTCAGCACTTCACGAGCAGCTTTCTACTCTACCATGTGGAGTTAATTTCTGTATCCATTGTATTGTAGCTTCTAATTTCATCACTGCACTTTATGGACAATCACCTAAATTATCTTCCCAAAAGAAAAGAACAAAATAATTTGCAAGCAATGTATGTCTTTTAACACATTTCTTCTTTTAGGTGTCCAGATCAATTGGGGATGTCTATCTGAAAAAACCTGAGTTATACAGAGATCCTCTTTTCCAGCAATATGGATCACCCATTCCTTTAAAAAGACCTGTAATGTCAGCAGAGCCCTCGATATTGATTCAGAAGTTAAGACCACAAGATTTGTTCTTGATATTTGCATCAGATGGCCTCTGGGAGCAACTGAGTGATGAAGCAGTTGTTGAGTTCGTGCTGAAAAATCCGAGAGTTGTAAGGCCCCACCTCTGGGCTCTCATTCTGCTCTCTCTATTTATTGCTGCATTATTATCTTCGCATGCAAATTGAGCTTGGCCCATCTATTAGTTATGCACATTGCTAAATTGTTGATTTGTTTACAACTTCTTTCTTTTATTTATTACAGGGAATAGCAAAGCGATTGGTAAGAGCTGCCCTTCAGGAGGCCGCTAGGAAAAGAGAAATGAGGTACGAGGACATAACAAGAATCGGAAAAGGTGTAAGGCGGCATTTTCACGATGATATAACGGTGATCGTGATGTATCTGGATCATAAACAAGGCTCTCCAAGTGGTAGATTCAACAATCACACCATGGTTGACTGCACCAGTTCTCCGGTCGATATCTTCTCTTTTAACACAGATGAAGTGGTAGATACGCCTCACACTTCACCTAATAAACCATAGCGCAAGCATATGCACTGCCTTGTGAATACAATAAATTTTGTTTGCACAGGTGCATTAAACAAGGACTATTTGGGATAAGAATAATCTTAAGGGTTGTTGTACATAGTCTTGTGAAGGAGGGATACATAGTCTTGTGATGGGAGGGATGATAGATTGAAGCTGCTGACCTCTTTGCCTGGGTTTTGACCTGATCTTTTGTTTTGTTCCCTTTTCTCTGGGGAGTTGTATGAGAACAATTTGTTTCCTTCTGTATTATGCTTTTTGTTAGTTGCATATAAGTTGATCTTTACTTGCACATAATATTAAAAGCTAGCAGATTTTTTGTTTTGTTTTTGGGGGTCACAATGAAGCTTCTTTGCAAGTAAGAAAGACAGAGGGATAGGGAAAGAAAAAAAATAATAGTGCTTAAGTCTGTTTGGGTGGTTTAAAATGAGAGAAAAGAAAGGATGGGAAGGGATATCCCTCCTTATCACTCATTTCATATCTCTGAGAAAATGAGAAGAGAGGGAGAGAGAAAGGATATTGTTTAAGTAGTATTTTTGTAATTTCGAAACTGTCTTTAACAATTAAAAAGAAAAAACTGTTATTTCAATTATATCCTTTTATTTAAAAGGATGTGATGCTAATTTGGTTATTATATTTTTTCTTCTTTTCTTTCATTTATCATATTTAAAGAAGAATGTTATCATTTCTTTATTGTTATTATTATTTTTTTCTTTCATAATTAATATTATCATTTTTTATTTTATTTTATTTTATTTTTTCTTTTTTCTCATTTCTATGCAAACAAAGCCTACATTCTTTTGGACCCATCACGGTGGTCAGTTGGCCATACCAAGTAATTGGTAAGGCGTCTAATCAATATGCACCATTCACAAAAAGTGGTGGTTTATTAATCAATATGCACCATTGGTAAGTCTTCTAATCTCAAACGTTATTATATTCGGGCTTATTTGCTCACCAACATATTCATGAACACATTCGATTTAACCTCGCGATTATATTTATTAGAATAATGATAGTGACTGAAAATTATTCTCGCACAATCAAATCAAATCAAGTCAAGTCAAATTATTACGTGGCCAATTTACGTCAAATTTTGTTTCCATAGTAAGCAAGAGATAATAAAAAGACTAACATGCCCTCAATGTTTACCCCTGTTTTTATTTCATATCCCTCACTTTCTCTAAACATTTATCCAACCTCCTCTTCATTTTATCTGTTCTCCCACATCTCCTCCGCTATCATCCATGTGTTTCATATTTTGGTGTCTCTCTCGCTAGTAATCTTCAAATTTGCTCCATCTCCATGACTCCACCAGTGCTACAGCTTTGATCCGTAACAATCATTTCAATTCATAAAATCCTATCAAATATAAAAACCAAGCTTATTCATTATCTTTGTCTTCTTTCTTCACAGAAGACCCAAATAAAAAGATTCATTTTCTAGAACTTAAAGAAAATGTCACTGTACATTTTATTACCTCTGGAGATTGAATGACCAGAATGTTTCCAATAGCAAGAACTGTCAAAAACCTAAGATTATTAAACAATTGCATATAGTCATGAATTCAAACAATTTAGGATTAAAATCATAAAACTCCCTTCTACTTTCAAAATCGTGCATAAACTGCGAATTAATAACACTTATCAAGTTAATCCCAACCATGTGGCCGACTCATTAAATGGGTTGTGAAATATCAAATTTAACCATACTATTTAATATTAAATTAAAATTTTAATTATTATTTTGAAATTACAAAAATACCCCTTTATAATAAAATTATTTAATTTTAGTTGTGTTGTCATCTCACTTGATATCGATGACTAATGATAATGTGTTAGGTAGGAATGAAGGAAGGATGTGGAAAGAAAATAAGAATGAAAGAAAAAACTTTCTTTGTTTGGTAGATATGATACAAGGAAAGAAAAGAGAATATGAAGGATGACACATCCTTTCTCCTTTATAAATTTTCGTCAATCCAAAAATGGGCGGAAGAAAGAAAGGAAGATAAGTGGACTATTATAAAAGTTTTAAATTAAATACTATTTTAAATTATACAAGTTTTAAATTATAATATTATCATCCTATATATTACAATATTAAAAATATTATTGGATATAATGGTAAAAACAATTAAAACTTTATCTTTCATTCTGTCCTAAGGAACATAGTAAATTATAAGTTTATTTTCTTTTCTTCTATCCAACCGAATAAAAAGGAGGTATTGGGCAAGAATCCCAAATCACTCCTGATTAGGGATCTTTTCTTTATATCATAGCTAGATTTACTTGTAAATCAAGTATTGATGTATATAAATACATGTGCAAAGAGATGTAAATAATCATCTAATACAATGAAGAAAATGTTCATGATATCAGAGCTTTCAAATACTCTTTTCTGATCCTTATCACATTTTTCGCTGTCTCTTTTTTCGTCTAAAGCTTTTACATCTCTGTTTCACTATGTCTACAGAACCAGTCTCCTCTGCATCTGCCACTATTATTTCCTCTTCCCCGATTCTCACTATCCCCAATATCTCACACCTTGTTTCAATCAAACTCGCTGATACAAATTGTCTTCTTTGGTAATCACAAATTAAGTTGTTTCTTGTCGGCCAAAATTTTTGGAGGTTTATTGACGGATCCGAAACATGTCCCTCTCAAACCATATTATCTGCTGATAGCAAATCTGAGGTCACCAATCCGGAGTACACAGCATGGTTTAGAACTGATCAAACTCTCATTAGTTTAATTAATGCTACGCTCTTTCCCTCTGTTTTATCCTAAGTTGTTGGTCTGACCACTTCTCGTCAGATTTGGGATTGTCTTAAAAAAATTTTTTTCTCAATAATCTCTTGCTAATGCCATGAATTTTCGCTCCCAGCTTTTATCTCTTTGTAAAGGTTTGGAATCCATCTCTGAATACCTAAAACACACTTAATCCCTCTCTGATGCCCTCGCAGCCATAAATGAACCAGTCTCCAATAATGACCTCGTTACTTTTGCTCTCCATGGTCTGGGCTCAAACTATGTTATGCTAAAAATTGTTATTCTCAATTTTCCTCTTCTTCCCAAATTTTCAAATCTTCATGCTCGTCTTCTCTTTTTTGAATCTCAAATTACATCCCATCCCAGTTCTAAAAACACCACACCCACTGCCTTTATTTCCAGCACTTGTGGTGGCCCTGGCGGTCGTCATGGTCGTGGAGGTCATCATGATTATTCCAACAATCGCAACAATTACACTTATGATAATACCCATGGTGGATATGGGTCTGATGATTTTGGTCTATACACTTACAGTTATGATAATAGTCGTGGTGGATATGGGCATCCTGATTTTGCTAAAAACAATCGAGGTTGCAACAATTATGGTCATGGTGGTTATAGTTATGACGATAACCATAGTACGCATCAAGGCATTCTTGGGCAACACCTTTCCTCCCGCACATCTCAATTTGATGATGATCTCGCCTCTGCCTTTGCTGGAATGCAACTATCTCAACCTGTGGATCCCAACTGGTATTCTGATACTGGTGCCACAAATCATATGACGGGTGACGCTCGTCACATGACTCAGAGATCCGACTATGGTGGTAATGATCTGGTTGTTTTAGGCAATGGTGACTCACTTCCTATTGCGCACCCTGGTAACCTTTCCCTTCAATCTGGTTCTTCATATTTTCGTCTTTCTAACGTACTTCATATACCTTCGATGACCAAAAATTTGTTGTCAGTTGTTCAATTTACCAGTGATAATTTTGTTAGTTTTCTTTTTCTTACGTAGGGATTTATTATTCATGATTTACGTACTGGTTCTGTCCTTTTTCAGGGCACGTGAGCTTGGTCTCTACCCTATTAAACAAGATTTGGCTCATCGCCATGCTTTTATTTGTTTATTGTGTTTCTTCTTCTCTATGGCTTCATCGTCTTGGGCATCCATTGTAAAAAATTCTGCAAGTTTTAAGTTCCAATAAAAGTTTAGGATCATCTTTTAATTTTTCTCGCATTAGTTTTTGTAAGCATTGTGCATTAGGAAAGTCTACAAGACTTCCTTTTACTATTAATAAATTACGTGTTCTTGCACCATTTTCTTTAGTTCATTTGGATGTAAGGATGTCTCCCATTACATATGTTTCTGGTTTTCGTTATTATCTCTTGTTTACAGATGACCACACTCACTACACATGGATTTATCCTATGCGTTATAAGTCAAAAACTTTCATTCACTTTACCTCATTTCTTGCGTTTGTTGAAAATTAGTTTTCATGTGTATCAGAACTTTTCAAAGTGATGGTGGAAAAGAATTTGATAACACAAACTTCCATACCTTGTGTGTGCAAAAAGGAATTCACTATAGACTTTCATGTCCTCACAACCCGCAACAAAATAGTGTTGCAGAGCGCAAACATTTCCATATTTCGGAAATGGGTTGTACATTACTTCTTGCTTCGCACATGCTTTTTAATTTATGGGTTGAAGCCATGGCTACTACAGTCTATCTTATTAATCGGTTACCCACTTCGATTTTGGGTTGGTCATCACCTTTTGAGGCTTTATTTGGTTCGCCACCCAATTATGGTGAACTTCATTCTTTTGTTTGTACTTGCTATCCCTTTCTTGGTGACTATACAACTAACAAATTACAAGCTCGTTCTCTTGAATGTGTCTTTATAGGCTACAGTATGCGCCACAAGGGATATCGTTGCCTTGATTCACGCACGGGAAGACTATACATATCTAAACATGTTCGATTTAAGGAGTCCAGATTTCTATATGCCACTGCACCACTAAATGCGTTTTCTCCATCGCAGCTTTTAGAGAATGACATCCTCTTTTTTCGGTTCTCTCTCCACAATCATCCTCCACATCGCCGTCACCTACTATACCAAATACACCTTCCGCACTTATGGATCCAGCCCTGGACTCTACCACATCTCAAGAACCTACACCCATTGATCAACCATCCTTTGTAATGGTCTCTGGATCTCCTTCTCTAACTGAGCATATATCGGTATTAGCTCCAGCAACGACTTCTCAACATCATATGGTTACAAGCTTCGTGATGGTACTTGGAAAAAAAGGTTATTCACAGCATGGTCACCACTAAACACCCATTACCATAGGCCTTTGTGTCTCTTCTCCACACTACAGATATTGAGCCAACATGTTATACTAATGCAGCTCGCTCTCTTGAGTGGTGTCGGGTAATGACTAATGAATTTAATGCTCTCTTAAAGAAAGGTAAATGGTCTTTGCTTTCACCTTCTTCTTTGGTTATAAATAGGTTTTCAAAATTAAACATCACTCTGATGGTCACGTTGA